AACCCCAAAAGGGGTCACAAAGAATCTGACATGACTGAAACAACTGAACAATAATAGCAAAGATATACAAAAACACTACAAAGTGTGTAAAAAGATGCACAAATACACAAATGTGTGCATATGTTTTTATTAGTAGGCAAGTCATTTTATTCTTGTTGCTAGAATATTTGCAGGAAACAAATCTCACGTATCTAAAAGCTTAAGTATCCATGACGAAGCAGGTGGGATATAAAGGCCAGATCATAACATGCGGAGAAGGCCTTTTCCTTCTTTTCCTTCATCTCAGAGATAGGGAGATGAATGCAAATACATACAGAGCTACCCAATCATGAAGGATCATAGCTCTAGAGATGGAAAGGACGTTAGAGGCCATCTAGTCCAAACCCTTTGTTTTACAGATGGCGAGACTGAGGCCCAGAGAGCCCAAGGGACTTGCAGAGTTCAGGATTTGAACTAAGGTTTGGTGATACCAACTTCAGCCCTCTTTTTCCCTGATCCATATTCTGGCTACATCTAAAACCCGAATAAATGCACATACGGCAGAATAGAAACACAATGTACAGACCCCCCCATACCCAAACACACCCATGCACAAACATTTCAGCAGCCATGAGGGTGCTGGAAAGGCCCAGGGGATCCTGTCTCTTGCAGGCCACAGCCTGGTCTTCCTCAGACCTCATCATGAGTGGCTGTTGGCATAGCTTCTGTAGTAACCAGAGAGAGGGAAAGGCCAAGGCTGCTGAACAAAGCCGCCTCACAGACCTTTAGCCCAAAAATGTGGTTTTCAAAAATGGCTTTTTAAACAAATAGGTTGTTTGTCAAAAGAGGGAAAAAAATGTCCAAGTTAGATATTCCAATGTGGTCTTTCTGCTGAAGCTTCTGCATGGAGCTGGGCCCGAGGCCCAAGCTCTTTCGCCTTTGAAGGATATGTTTGGCATCTGCTTCGACCATAAACGCCCCCAAACAGAGTGAGGTGAAGCTGAGAGGCACAGCCCGAACTGAATCAAGTCATTTTCCATTTTGGGAAAAATACTCTCCCCAGAAAAAAGGCATCCTGTCGCAGCCTGGCAGGCCACCCAGAGGAGAGGGGGCCCTGAAGTGGCTCCATTGGCTTTAATTGATTCCATTTCATTCAATTAAGTCCAACAGAGATTTTTTAAAGCACCTTCTGTGTGCCCTGGGTCCTTGTACTGGGAGCTATGAGAGAGAGACAGCTTTTAGATATCAACTCTGCCCTCATGGAGTTCAGAGTCTAAGAAGAGGGTGAGACTTGAGCACACATTAAGTATCATGTGCAATGTTACATAAACTACATGTGCATATTAAAGAGCATATGCATTAAATACATATGCAACAGTCCAGAACTGCACCAGAGATGTATAAAGCAAAGTAGGAACTCAGGGAGGAAGCAACCACTTCCTTTAATTGACAACGTGACTCATGTGGAAATATGTCTGACACGACTGCACATGTATGACCTATATCAGATTGCTTGCCATCTCAGGGAGGGGGATGGAAGGGAGGGAGGAAGAAAAAATTTGAAACTCGAAATCTTATAAAAAATGAATATTTAAAACTATCTTTCCATGTAATTGGAAAAAATAAAATACTATTTACAAAAAAAGGGGGAATTTGTGATTGAGAGACAGCCCCTCTTAGTCTGACAAATATTTGAGATTTTCAGAGAGCATGATATAAAGAGTTCAGAGGTGAGAGGTAGGATTTTGTGGACTGCATGGGACATTAGCTTTGGAAGGATGGGATGTCTAGAAAGAAATTCTGAAAGAACAAAAAGAAATAATCCCAATGAGGGAGTTGTATACAGTGACCAATGTGGATGCATAGACATTTTAAAAGATATCTTTTTTTAAAATATCATCTTCATTTCCTAGTATGTCCTCTCCTCCTCCCCTAACCAGTGAGCCATCCCTTCAACAATAGAAAATGGAAAATTTGTGTGAATCTCTGAGGGAGACATAAAATTTAGGTGACTGTTTTCTGTCCTTGTAATGTAGGAGAAGAAACTAAGAGACAATTATAATACACAATCAACTATAAAACAGAATATTATGAGGTAAATGTATAGGAGAGGGACAAAGAAGATGCTTTGGGATGGGGTCAGACAGAGCAGAGATCACTTTGAGCTGAAGGATTGGGGAGGGTTTCCTGGAAGAGGTGCATCTGAGTTGGGCTTTAAAGGATAAATAGGAAATCCCCCTCAAAGAGAGGGAGAGAAAAGATTCTCGGCAAATGAAATGGTATAAGCAAAGGCATGGAGGTGAGAGAGTGTAATGTGATAACGATGGTCATGGTGATGGTAGTGATGATAATGGTGACAGTGGTGTTCACAGTTAAGATGATAAGGGTTGTGTTTAATAGTGAAAGCGGTGTTGGTGAGATGATTGTGATGAACAACGCCATAATGGGATGTAAAGCATTCTGCAAATCCTTGAAGCATTTTATAAATATCAGTTGTAAAGAGGATGATTCTTAGGATGATAATGACGGTGCTGCTGCTGCTGCTGGAGGTGATCACGGTGATTGCAATGATAGTGGATGTGTGATGATGAAAGTGAAGGTGACAGTGAGGATGATGGTAATTCTGGTAGAGAGGAAGATAATGATGGTGGATCTGGTAATGATGTTGGTAATTGTGGCAGGGAGGAAGATGATGGTGATTCCAGTGATAATGTTGGTGATTGTGGTGAGGAGGAAGATGATGGTGATTCCAGTGATAATGTTGGTGACTGTGGTGAGGAGGAAGATGATGGTGATTCCAGTGATAATGTTGGTGATTGTGGTGAGGAGAAAGATGGTGGTGATTCCAGTGATAATGTTGGTGATTGTGGTGAGGAGGAAGATGGTGGTGATTGTAGTGATAATGTTGGTGATTGTGGAAGGAAGATGGTGGTGATTTCAGTGATAATGTTGGTGATTGTGGTGAGGAGGAAAATGGTGGTGATTCCAGTGATAATGTTGGTGGCTGTGGTGAGGAGGAAGATGGTGGTGATTCCAGTGATAATGTTGGTGATTGTGGTGAGGAGGAAGATGATGGTGATTCTAGTGATAATGTTGGTGATTGTGATAGGAAGATGGTAGTGATTCCAGTGATAATGTTGGTGATTGTGGTGAGGAGGAAGATGGTGGTGATTCCAGTGATAATGTTGGTGATTGTGGTGAGGAGGAAGATGGTGGTGATTCCAGTGATAATGTTGGTGATTGTGGTGAGGAGGAAGATGATGGTGATTCTAGTGATAATGTTGGTGATTGTGGAAGGAAGATGGTGGTGATTCCAGTGATAATGTTGGTGATTGTGGTGAGGAGGAAGATGGTGGTGATTCCAGTGATAATGTTGGTGATTGTGGTGAGGAGGAAGATGATGGTGATTCTAGTGATAATGTTGGTGATTGTGGAAGGAAGATGATTCCAGTAATAATATTGGTAATCGTGGTGAGGAGGAAGATGATGGTGATGATGGTGATCCAGTAATAATGCGGGTGATTATAGTAGAGGGGAAGAGAATGATGGTGGTGATTCTGGTGATGATGTTGGTGATTGTAGTAGAGAGAAAGAGCTTATGGTGGTGATTCTGATGATGTTGCTGATTTTGGCGGAGAGTTAAGATGGCAATGGTAGTGATGATAGTAAATAGTAGAAAAATCAAGGGACACAACTAAACCGGGCCTTCTGATTCCATGTTCTTTTCAGTACACTGTGAGTCTCTCTTTACAAAATAAAAGGGACCTTCTAGACCACCTAATTTAACTCTTTCTTTTTACAGCTAAGAAAACCGAGGTCTATGGATGGAGAATGTCAAGTCTGTGTTCACAAGAAGTGCTTGGTAAAGCACTGTAGATTTGAGTTGCTGTTCCTGGGGGAAGCCAAACTTCTTCAGCCTCTTGTTACTGTGGGTGCTTCTGCATAGCTCTAGGGAAATGCTTTGCCATTCCTTGTGCCTAACATGCCACCATAATGGTGGCAATGCCAGCAATGACTCTACACATTCCCGTAGGGCTCCAGGCATGGAGCAGTTGATCCCGCTCTTTATTCCTGGCACCAGCACTGAGTGCCCTTTCATGGAGACTGTGAGTGGGGGGGTGACAAAAAGAGCGTTGAGCTGGCAGGGTCCTAGCCTTTTAGATCTAAGGGTGGGAGGGACTGAAGAAGCTGTCAAGCCCAACCTTTTTATTTTACTGGTGGGGAGACCAAGGCTCAGAGAGATACAAGAGTTCCCTGACATTTCTATCCCACTAAGGTTTGCAAAGTACTTTGGAAATATGAGTGTCTCATTTGATCCTCACAGCCACCCTGGGAGAGAGATGGTGGTATCTCCATTTTACAGATCAGGAAACGGAGGTAGGTAGTGGTTAAATGACTCACCCAGGGTTACCCTGCTTGCTAAGTATCTGAAACTGGATTTGAACTCAGATTTTCCTGACTCCAGGGCTAGTGCTCTCTATCCACCGGGCCACCTAGCTGCCTCTAGCTTGCTCATGGCACACGAGGAGTACATGACAGAAGTAGAATTAGAACCCATGTACTCAAAGCTAGTTCTGCTACCAGGCTTACATTTCCTCATCTGTAGAATGTGGATAATGATCTTTGCCCCTGTCATGTTTTCACTGAAGATCAGATGAAACAATGTGCCTCTGAAAACAAAACATATCTGAATTATCTTTGTATCTCTCAGCACCTTGAGCAGTGTTTTGTGCGTAAGTGCTTGAAAAATCGTTGTTGAATAATGAATATAAAACGTTTTGTAAGCTCTGAAGCAACTTGTAAACAGTGAAGTGTCTTCTCCCTTGTATAGCACCTTGTAAACTGTGAAGTGCCTTATAAAATGGCCTAGTGCCTTGTAAATGGCAAAATGATTTGTAAACACTGAAACACCTTGTAAACTGTGAAGTTGGATCAGGCTGTTCTGTTCTTAACCTATTTCCTTTAGGAATCCAAGAGGGCAACATTTCCCTTTGCCCTCTCCCCAATTCCAGAGGCATTTCTGACGTTTTCCAAGGCCTTTATTTTGAGAACAGTTTCTAGTTGGTTTGTTGTAACTTTTTCTGTTTCTCTTCTTCCATTTATCCATCCGCGGAGTTTGAATTTCTTGTGCTTAGCTCATATGTTGTCATTGTTAGGGACCGGCTTCACCATCACTACCTCTTCAGGCCCCAGGGAAAGCTTCCAGGATCTGATGAACATTTATCCCACAGGTTCCTCAAACATCCAGGAATCCCCTAAAGGGATAGGGATGGGGCAGGAGTAGACTGTGGAGAGAGACAGATGAGAGAATGGTACAACCTGAACTTCTCCATCACTGGGATGGGAAAGGGACCCAACCCACCACCCCACTCCAGGGAGCAGGTGTGTCCAGGGTTGCATGAGCCTGGGCTCTCTCCCTTGGATTCTTGGGCAGGTCGCAGGCTGGGGCTCTAAACAGAGCCAGACTCACAAGAGTAGAGTCTAGAACCATGACATCTTCCGTGGCCTGCCCTGGCTCCCAGGTGGCTCCCACATACCTAGTATGGTGTCGACACCAAGGGACTTCCAGTGAAACAGCCGGCTGAGCCCGAATAACAATCTCCTCTGCTTCCCTTTGCCTCCCAAGTCACTCTCACTTATCAGCTGTGGCTCTTGTCTGCCCACTGATAGACCCACCCCTATGACCCCCCCCCCCTTCTTGGCATATCCTGCCCCCCTCCCCCTGTCTCTTAGGATCTGTTACTGTTAGAGTGACCTCTCCATTCCACCTCTCTCAGGGCATTGCTTGGGTGGGGGGGAGGGACCCAAATAGAGAGAAAATTCAGAGATTATTTCTGTTTTCCTGAAGGTCATGGCCTTGACCTTGAATTACCTCAGGCTTCCCAAAGCCCTCTTCCTAACATCATCTCTTTTGCAGTCCTTTTCACTCCTGCCATATTGGTCTTCTCATCCCTCAATACCCCATAGCTCCAGCTTATTCCTTTTTCTCAGGCTTTCCCTCACAATGTTCACCCAACTTGGATTATCTTCTGTGGTCCCTTCCTCTACCCCATCCTCTGTGCCCCTTTCCCCTTCCCCTCTTCCGGGCCTCTCTCAATCCTCTCCCCATCCCTGAAGCAGAACCCTGACATGGGAGTCCAGGAGACTGTCTTGCTAACCATGACTCTGCTACTTCTTGAAGTTATGTGAGCGTGGGCCAGTTTTTTACCTTCTTTGGGACTCAGCTTCCCCAATTGGGAAATGGGGATGATAGAGTCTTTGACAAGGTATGTTTTATAGATTCTATTTCATGTGGTCCTCAGATGGAGAAACTAAGAACCAGATAGAGAGGTGACATGACTTCAAAGTCACTCAGCCACTAAGGGGTCACTCCTATTTCCCTACTTTATGTTGCATTCCCTGCCTGCAGACTTGTAAAGCACTGTGTAAATGTGAGTTATTATTATTGTTGTTGTGGTTATTATTCTTGTGGTTGTTATTGTATGGGCAGTGGGACTCTGACACATTAGGGCTGAGAGATCCTGGGACAGGACGAAAAACTAGGGACATTTTTCTTCCCTGTTGCTGTTAAAAATAGGATTGGGCCTGACTTGGATAGGTTCAGCATAGAAGCGGGGGCATGACCTAAATGAGCATCTCCTCCCTGGGTGTCTAGCCAATGAGCCCCACAGGAAATATGCCTTCTTTTTTGCTCAGGCCCCCCTCAGAGAGAACCATGAAAACTTTCCTCAGAATCTCTTGGGACGGTTAATTTCCTTAAAAAATACATGATGTAATAGGAAGAAATCCAACTTACCCTTTGTCTGCCAGAAGAACCAACTATAACTCATCCCAGGCCAGCTGTTTACAAAGACTTAGAAATTCTGTAAGGAAATAAATGTCTAATTGTTTTTTTTTTGCCAGAGATCTGTGTATGTGTTTGTATGCATGTGTTTGTGTGCACATGTATACATGTATGTGTGCACATATATATGGGTATGCACACGTGTCTGTGTGTGTGTGTGTGTGTGTTGTGGAGGACCTGGGGGTGATGGTAGCCTCTCACCCCATGTGTCCATCATGCTGTCTCAGCCTCCTAGGGAGGCTTCAGTAGGGTCTGTATAGGTAGTTCATATTTAGACTTTAAAAAAAAGCTGCCCTACGGGGCAGCTAGGTGGCGCAGTGGATAGAGCACTGGCCCTGGAGTCAAGAGGACCTGAGTTCAAATGTGACCTCAGACACATAATACTAGCTGTATGGCCCTGGCCAAGTCACTTAACACCATTGGCTAGACCAAAAAAAAAAGTGTCCTAGCATGCTAGGGTCCTAGAGCTTGAACTGGACAGAACCTTAGAGGCCATCCTTGTGTAAAAGGGAGTGAGTGGGGTTCAGGGGAGCCCCCCCCAGATGTGCCCCTCAGGAGGGGTCACCTTCTGTCCATACTTGAATGTTAGGGTCCTTGTAGACTCTCATCCTATCATAGGATCATAGATTGAGAGTGGGAAGGGCCCCTTTGTTTTACAGAGAAGAAAACAGAGCCTCCCACCCCAGACTGTAAGGGGCAAAGTAGAGATTTAGGCTTCTGTACTTCTTCTCCAAGTTTAGGGCACTTTTCCATTAACTCATTGCTTCTTACAGTGGTAATATTGGCAGGTGAGAAAACTCACATGGGGGGGGGGATTAATTCAAGTCCATGTGCATCTCCGGAGTGTCTCAGGTGTGCTTGGAGCCTGGCCTCAGTTCTGATGTGATTGGGAGGAGGAGGAGGAAGAGGAGGAAGAGGAGGAGGAAGGGGGGAAGAAGAGAAGGAAGAGGAGAAGAAGAGGAGGAGGAATAGAAGGAGCAAGAGGAGGAGGAAGAGGGGGAGGAAGAAGGAAGAGGAGGAGGACAAGGAAGAAGAGGAGGAGGAGGAAGAGGAAGAGGAGGGGAAACTTTCTCCTTTTGAGGGCCTCCTAGTTCATTTGAAGAAATCTCCCCTCTCCCCTTTCCCCTCTCTCTCCTCCTAAAATAAGATAAATGTTTAGGAGACAAGCGCCAAAGAAATGGTCCAAACCAGCTCCTTTATTCTATAAATAGGACTCAGGAAGCCTTCCCATCATCCTCTGTCCCCAGGGGCTTCTTCCTTTGGCTTTTAGCAGCCTCACTGTTTGTCCCATTTTTTTCCCGCTAGCTCTTGGTTGTGCTAACCTCCCAATTGTCCCCAGAGTATGCCAAGACTAAGAGTAATTTGCTGGACTGGGCCTCCTTCCCTGAGGAATAATGGTTCAGCGCAGGCACTGCTGGTCCTGGTTCCAGGCATGCGCCCCCATTGTCCGGACTATGCCTTTACTCAGTGACTTGACCAGAACTTAAATCCAGGACTCTTTGCACATACCATGGTCATCTCGGCCAGATAACTCTGTATAGGGGCTCTCTCCCACCTTCAATGGCACCTCCAAATGATGTGGAGCCACTGGGACCCTCATTATCTTCCTCCTGTCTTCCCTATTGCTACTGATGCCGATACCATCCTCTGAGTCCCTTTTCTCCCCCAGATCCCACATTTAGTTGCGGACTCCTGTTGGTTCAACGTCTCAAAAATACCTTTCATTCATGTCTCCTCCTCTTCACTCCCAAATCCTGCAACCCGGGTGCAGGCCCCCATAGCCCCTCATCTAGATCATTGGAATACTCTCCTAACTGGTCCCCTGGCTAGGCCTTTTCTGCCCAGCCAGGGGCCCGCGGGCTCCCCGCTCTCATGCCCTCTTGTCCATATCCTCACCTTCCTATCTTGCCAGATCCCAAGACCTGGCTGACCACACCCGGTGTGTTCCGCCGAGCCCTTTCATGGGTGCACAGGGGTGCCAAGGAGAGCCAGCTCTCACAGTCAGTGGGAGTGTGGGCGCGAGACCACGTAGGTTTCCTTGGTTTTGTGCCGGCGTTTGCTGGACGTCCGGGCAGTGTGGGTCGAGCAGCTGCACGAGCACTTGGAGCATGACTGTCTGCTTCCACTGCCTCTGTTACCCCTGCTGCCTCTGCTTTCGCATTCATAGGTGCTGATGCAGACTTGTCGGCGTGACTTTGGGCACGAGCTTGGACTCGGGCTTGGGCTCGTGCGTGGGCTTAGGCTCGGGCTCGGGCTCGGGCTCGGGCTCGGGCTCGTGCAGGGGCTCGGACTTGTGCAAGGGCTTGGGCTTATGCAGGGGCTCAGGCTCGTGCATGGGCTTGGGCTCGTGCATGGGCTTGGGCATGGGCTTAGGCACGGGTTTGGGCATGGGCTTAGGCTCGTGCATGGGCTAGGGCATGGGCTTAGGCAAGGGTTTGGCGTTAGGCAAGGGCTTGGGCACGGGCTTGGGCACGGGTTTGGGCACAGGCACAGACACGGACATGGAGTTGGGCAAGGGCATGGATATGGAAACGGGCACGGGCACAGGTCTGGGCTCGGGCTCAGGCTCTGGCTCTGGCGCTGGCGCTGGCGCTGACGCTTGTACTTGCACGAGTAGGTGTGCGTCTCAGTGACGGTGTAGAATGGCTTGTTTGGGTTAAATGTGGTGCATATTGTCATCTTCATCATCCTGTAGTTTCCCTATGCGTGACCCGTGTTCAGAGGTAAAAGTTTTTGCTGTGGTGAATTAATTGGAAGCTCTATCTTTTTTGGTGTCCCGTGATGGATGGAGCCTCCCTGAGTGTTTTTAAGAGGCCCAAGTGGAGTGTTGCCAGGGGGCCCTGAGCCCTGGGACTAAATAGCAGGAGTGGGGGGGCCTGGAAAAGGGTAGACCATTGTTACCACATGCTATCTTATTTTACTCCCTGGGGTGGGGGAGGGGGAGGGGGAGAACATCATCACTAAGGGCCACCAATGAGAGCCTTTCTTTCTTGGCCAGAGACTCAGACCTCAGGAGGGGTTCAGGGCCACCAAGCAGGAAATCTGGGTTCCTTCCCTTCTCTCCCTTCCCAGGCTCAATCCTCTGGCGCTGGTGACTTGGGTGTGTTCCATCTTGATCCAAGCTTGGGCTGGGAGACAGTTGTGCTGAAGCTACAGGGGGAAATCCAGAAGATGGCAGATTCAGAGGAGGAAGACCAGGAGGCAGACGGAAGCTCATCAGCTTGCCATTTTTTGGCTTGGAAGAAACTGAGCTTGTTTAGCATGGAAATTAGAAGCTGGTCCGGGTGATGTCTTCAAGAATCTGAAGGGCTTTCATCCTGTGAAAGGGCCGTCGCTCTGTTTGGGCCTCTCCCCTACTCTGTGATGCACTCCCTACCTCACAGACTTGTGAAGGCCCCCGATAGTACTAGGAGTAAATGGGTAGAAAGGAGGAGGTGGCAGATTTAGCCTCTGTATAAGGTAGAACTTTCCAAAAGCAGAATGAGCTTTCTTGGGCTGCAGAAAATTAGTTTTCTATCACCGGAAGTCTTCCAGAACAGGCTGGGTAGCTCCTTCCAGGGTATGCAACAGAGGGGATAACTGCTCGGGGTACTGCTTGGAATAGACGCCTTCCAAGGTCCCACTCCTCTCTGAAATGCTTCAGTTTGATGGCTAAGTATAAGCTGCAGTGTGTCATGGGGGAGAACAGAGCTGGCTTCTGAGTCAGAGAAGCCTGCCCCTCCCCTCCCCAATTCATGGACCCTCAACAAGGCACTCAGCTTCTCAGAGACTCCTGGAGATTTTTTTAAGAACAGTCTAGAAAGGAAGGAGCACCAGCTCTGGGATCGGAAGACCTGGGTTCAAATCCCTACTCTGGTGCTGACTCACCTAGGGGATCTTAGGTAAGCTGCTTTCCCTCCCCGGGGTTCAGCTTCTCTCTAAAAGGGAGAGGTTGGACTAAAATGCACCATCCAGCTCTAGGGCTGTGAGTTGTATGTTTCAGACCTGCGTGAGTGCAGGGAGTTTCTTCAATCTGGAGTTCCTTTAACCAAGGGACTTGTAAGGTCTTTAAACATCAATAAAAGGACAATAGCAACTCACATTGCTTCGGTGTTTTTTTGTTTTTGATCAATGCGAAGACATTTAGGGGCCTCCTCTCATGTTACATAACATTCTTGTGTTCTTCAATAGTTATTTGGTGTCCCAGCAGTTCTGCCCCACCTTGCAGAGCTTCCTCACTATCCTCATCTTTGAAGTGGGCAGAATTACCTCTGCCCTGGCCTGCCTTGTAGACTTGTCACAAGAATCCACTTTGCAAAGTGCAGACAACCTTTAAGCTCTGGGGGCATCCGGTCTGCCCCGACACGGGTATGGGCATGGACATTGCACCCAGATCCCCTGAGATGGAGGCATTCATGTGGGAGATATCTTGCCAAGGATCTGCTTCTGGGAGAAGATATTTTGTATTCCCCTACATGTGGGGTGAGAGTAGCCTTTTCCATGTGCTGCTTAGGCAGAACCAGCTGTGTCATTAAAACTACCACCTGGGGATAATCTGTCTGTCACTCACAGCCCCACCAGCAAAAATGAACTAAGCTGAGGGGGCGGGGCAGTGGTTGGGGGCTCCCTTCCCCCTTCCCCCTTTAAGACCTGTGGCCCCCAGAACTGGGCTTGAGGTTTTTGTCTGTTTTGTTTGTCCATTTCAGTTCTAGGCCTAGATGTTGTGGGCCTAAGAGCTTGAGTTAGAGACTAAGCTTGGGCTACTGCCAGGTCACCAGGGAAAACCTGACAAGCCAGCGTGCCTGGGCCCCTGCCCGGGCCTCAAACTTTGGACTTGGAACTTGGGAGGACTATGTTATATAGGAACTGAGCTAAATTATGTGTGCCTAATCTCTCTCCCTCCCCAGAGCCTGAGGTGGCAGAATGGGGATTATGCTCCAATTTGGTGTGGGTGGGGATGATTTATATATTTGTTTTTTATAACTTTGAAATAAGTATTCTCTTTTTTTTAGGCTAATCTGACTGTTAAATGGTTAAATGGAACGGGGATACAGGAAACCCCTAAAATTTGGAGAACACAATCAATGGGAGCTCGAGTTAATGCCCACAAGAAATGACACTGCCCCCCTACCCCCTTGAGGGTACATCCTGGGAGAACAGTGAAATGTAACATACCTGGCCTTGAGGCAGTGGGGGACAGGGTAGTCACGGTCACACTTTAGTTACACGCCTTCACATTTCAAAACAACGTCTTTGAACTGCTCTGGGGCAGGACTGAGCTAGTCTGGTGGGTATAGATTTGGTGCTGAAAGAGACCTGAGAGGCCATTGAGTCCAATCCCTTCATTTTATAGATGAAGTAAAGGAGACCTGGAGAAATTAAGTGACATCTGGGATACCGTTTGGTATATCTAGAATGTCCCCAGTTCTCACTGAGAAATTATGGGAAATTGTCAAAAATTTCACAGGTATTGTAGGATTTAGAGTTGGGAGGCCTCCTTTAGGGATCACCATTCCCTTCTTTTTATAGATGATGACAGAACTGAGGCCAGAGAAGGGAAGAGCCTTGGTGTTAAATAACTGAGCCTCAAAACACAATCATAATTGTAACTGGTTAATTCCAGGTGACTGTAGGGTGTTTCAGGTGTATATAATGTGTTTAATCCTCTCCAGTCTTTCAAGACTCATCCCAAGTCCTGCCTCATTCAATTCAGTGGGGGACCTATTATTATTAAGGTCCTATACTGTGCCCTCTGGGAATACAAAACTGTTCACCCGGGAGGAGTCTCTTCTACAGACTCACTCTTCCTCTGATCTTTGTTTAATAGACTTGGGCCCTGCAACTTGGGGGTGTTGGACTGGGGGAGAATGGCCCATTGTTACCACATCCTACCCAGCCCCAGCAAACTCCCTAGGATTGGGAGTAGGGGAGAGGCTCTTTGCCAAGAGGTTTCTATGATTCCATAATGGAGTTCAAAAAAGTTCTCTTACTAGCTGTGTAACCTTGGGCTTTGGTGGTATCAGAGGAAATAGGGCTTGGAGGAAACCAAGAATGGAAAAAAAAAGTGAAGTGATTTATCCAAGGTCACATAGGTATCAAATAACAGAGCTGGGATCACGCCCAGTTCTCTGACTCCAAATCTTGCCACCACACCAGGCATAAACTCAATAAAGGTTTGGTGAATGAATCCTAGAATCCTAGAATTTAGCTGAAAGAGGTTCCAGGGGCATAAAATTTAACCTATGGGTTGGCCCTGAGTACCCGAAAAGGAATTTCCTCAATGACAAGATTTCTTTTTTTAAAAAAAAAAATTTCATTTTTCTCAATTATGTGTGAAAAATTTTTTTTAGCTTTTTTTCCCCAGTAAGATGTATTTATTTGTTTTCAACATTCACTTTGACAAGATTTTGAGTTCCAAAGTTTTTCACTTCTTGCCCCTCCCCCACCCCAAGACAGTGTACATTCTGAATACTCATTCCCCTAATCTTCCCTCCTTTCTATCAACCCCCCCCACCTTCTCTTATCCCCTTCCCCTTCTGTTTTCCTGTAGGGCAGGATAGATTTCTATACCCCATTGCCTGTACATCTTATTTCCCAGTTGCATGTAAAAACAATTTTTAACATTTGTTTTTAAAACTTTGGGTTCCAAATTCTCTCCCTTCTTCCCACCCTACCCACCCTCATTGAGAAGGCAAGCAACTCAGTACAGGTTATACATGTCATGCAAAACTCTTCCACAGTACTTATGTTGTGGAAAAACTAACTATATTTCCCTACATCCTATCCAGCCCCCCCCATTCTATTCTCTCTTTTGACTCTGTCCCTCCTCAGAAGTGTTTGCTTCTGATTAGCCCCTCCCCCAGTCTGCCCTCCCTTCTGTCACCCCCCCCCCATCCCTTTCCCCCTATTTTCCTGTAGGGTAAGATAGATTTTCATACCTAATTGAGTGTGTATGTTATTCCCTCCTTAAGTCAAATCTGATGAGAATAAGATTCACTCATTCCCTCTCACCTTCCCCCACTTCCCCTCCCACTGTAAAAGCTTTTTCTTGTCTGTTTTAGGTGAGATAATTTACCCCATTCTACCTCTCCCTTTCTCCTTCTCCCAATATAATCCTCTCTCACCCTTTAATTTTATTTTTTAAATATCACCTCTTCATCTTCAACTTACCCGTGCTCTCTATCTATCTATAGATATATATAATTTTTCCCTCTAACTACCCTAATACTGACAAAGGTCTCATGAGTTACAAATATCATCTTTCTGTTAACATTAGCTTTTAAAAATTTTGAGTTCCAAATTCTCTCTCCCCTTCCTCCTTCCCCTCCCCCTTGAGAAGTCAAGCAATTTGATATAAATTATACATATGAAGTCACGCAAAACATATTAGCCATGTTGCAAAAGAAAACATAGACAAAAAATCAAACCAAGAAAAATAAAGTAAAAAAGTATGCTTCAATCTGCACTCAGAGTCCATCAGTTCTTTCTCTGTAGGTGGATAGCATTTTTCATCTCAAGTCCTTTGGGAGTTGTCTTGGATCATTGTATTGCTAAGAATAGCTAAGTCATTTATAGTTAATCATCGCAGAATATTGCTGTTACTGTGTACAAAGTTCTCCTGGTTCTGTTGACTTCACTCTGCATCAGTTCATATAAGTTTTCCCAGGTTTTTCTGAAACCATTTCTTATAGCACAACAGTATTCCATCACAATCACATGCCACAACTTATTCAGCCATTCCCCAATTGATGGGCATCCCCTCAATGTCCAATTCTTTGCCACCACAAAAAGATCTGGCAGAGGTTCTTAACCTGGGTCACAGGAACCCGTTTTTGGAAAGGAACTGGAAGGGGACTTAGAGGTCATCACGGTAAAGAGGAAACGGAGTGCTTCCTTTAAAGTTGAGCAGGTGGCAAGTAACGGCAG